ACCTTCCAAGCCACGGCACTTCGCTCACCGTGATAGTCTCAGGCTGGGGCCACACATGCGGCTGAGGAGTCACATGGAGAACGAGCCGAGTGGCACACCTCCCACTTACGTTAGGGGTGCCAATTACGTGTTAGCGTTGTGTGATGGTGGGTGATGTTGATGTGCTTTGTAGGCCCTCGTGGTGGAATGGTATGGTTAGTGTTGTTCTACGGCAGGTCTTTATGAATGCGCCTGTAACCGAATAGCCCTCTGCGGTGGCTGAATTCGCGAGGTCGGTGCTGACATTTGAGACGAGTGCATCTGGTGTGAGTTGGTACTCCAGTCGCCAGTCTGCGTGTGAGGGATTTGCAGATGGCCAGCGAGGCCTGTACGTGAGGTGAATGTGTGGTGACAATGTGATCAGGATGGGTCGCGAGCGGCAGAGTCGGTTTCGGTGGTGGTAGCGCTGCCACTGCTGCTGCTTCCAGTGATGGGCACACTTGGCGATCAGGAGTTGAGTGGGCCATCAATGGGAGAGTTGGTGGATATGTCAGATGTGTCGACTAGAAACACCATCCCAGTATCCATTTCCTTTATTGGCACTGCATCTGTATAATCACAGGTCGCTCCGCGAACGTCTGTAAGGGCTATATCTTGAGAACCAAGGCCCAAAGAGGCAGTCTTCCTCGCTCCGACCTTTACAGAACTAGGCTCGCGCAGTAAATACAGGCACAAGTATTCCTGTGTGAGGACCTCAGCAGAGATGTGGGTAACTCAATAGAGAGGAGTTTCGGCTCTATCAAACACTTTATGTGATCGCAACCCTCGTCACAACCTGCGACTGCAGATTTCACCATGACCATCGCGAGCGGCGACATCCCCACTGTCCGCCTAGGCGGGAGGGTAGGATGGTAGTTGGTAGCCCTGCCAACTGATTCTACAATTGTACTTACTGGCTCGATTTCAAGCTCTGTGATTACGTTCTCATTATGTCTGGGAGTGCACGCGCAGAAGCCCTGTCAGGATGATTTTCTTCTTCACTTTAACCGCCCCGAGAACGAGGCGCTGCAAAAATGTCTATATAGACTCATTGTATTGCACCCCTACACGGAATTCTTTAGTAAAGGGCGAAAGATTTATCCCAGGCGGATTATGATCCATCATGCTTCTCATTATGCTTCTAATTGCATGCGCGCACTGTGTTACCTGTATCTGATTCATTTTAGAGGTACTATCCTAGGCTGCATACCACAGTACCCAGATGTTACCTGTATGCATAACCATCCGTTTCCTGTGGCAATATTTGTAAGGGCATGACCTTTCGACATCTACATAAGACCCTACAGGTCAGTAGTCCTTTCTGCTGGAGATACTGCACTAGGTAGGACGAGTGGATTATTTCCAGGATCCGCGAATAATCTGTCGGCCTATCCACTTGCGGTCCTGCTTTCCTTCGCCTTCTAAGAGAATAAAGTGTAACTTCATATACAGAGTGCTAATTCCTCTATACATTGTATAGTATACCATTCACGCATAGCAAACAACTACTGCCATAGTTTTCATTCGAGATGTAGCCACAGTGACAATACACTATTTTTTGCAGATTTTCTCTTTCGCCCAAACATATTTTTCGCATTAAAGTCTTACCCCGCTTGCGTTATGCCGTCCTGCGTGCCGCTGCTTGACTCTCGTGTTCTCATGTCCATTCTGTCGGTTAGAGTACTATCGCACATACTGCGGAATAATCTTAAGACACACTGCATTCTTCCTATTGGTTGTTCGCCTTCACTTGCTATTCTTTCCAATCTGGGGCAAGGATGCATTTATTCCGCATACCGCACTAATTATCCATGCTCATTTTTGTACCCTCCTTGCATTTTAACCTTATTTAAATAAGGCTTCCACTTTGCCAGGAACGTCAATTCTAGGCATACCCTACAAGCGCCATTTACGCCTCCACTCATCTGCCCCACCCGCATAGCCCCTATTACCACCGGTCCCGTAAGACAGGTAGCTTGGAGTTTTCGGTACCGGGAGGGCTACCAACTACCATCTAACCGGCGGGAGCAAGTGAGAGTTGCGGAAGTCAGAAGTCCAGCTGGCAAGAATACGTTTGCCTCCGATAAATTTTTGTAAGGCCAGTATATTTATACGGGAATGGGCTAGAATTAAAAACGTATAAGTAATAAGAGAAATCGGTCGGAGTTCATCTTAAAACACAGGCGGGGTGTGAGCATGTGGAGGAAGGGGTGGGGCGTAATAGCGGTCAATGCCAGAGACGGGGTGATAGCTGAAGGGCGCGCAGAGTTGCAGTTCGGAACCTTATGGCGGCCGCCTCTGCTGTTGCCAACAGACGCTGGCCCAGTAACTTAATGTAGCCCGGTGGAACCTTATAAATCACAGAAAAAGCTTTCCTGTGGTCCACATGATGCTCGGAATCAACAAAATGCCCGAAAATGACGCTGTTTATGCTCTCAGTTTGGCCTTTCCCAGCCATGCAGAAGCGGCCGCCATCAATTTACGAAAACCAATCTTGTGCGCTCAGAAGAACCCTGTTCAGGCTCCGCAGCGGCAAGATCCTTATATGCAGCCATGCATGCATACTTGATACTGCTAACCTGTTGATTTGGTTTCAGTAGGTGTGCTTAAATTCAAGCGAGCGGCTTGTCTCAGTGCGTTCGCCAGGCGCGTTTCTTATTTAATCCAGCTAGTGGCCAGGCTACGAACCGATTGAGTTCACGTTCCTTTCTAATCCATCGAGTGGCTAGGCTACGAGACCGAATGTGCTAATTTTTCTTTCTAGTCCAGCGAGTGGCTGGGTACGGACGCAATGTGTACACTATTTCCTAATCCAGCTATTGGCTAGGCTACGAAACCGAATGCGTTCACCTTATTTTCTAATCCAGCGAGTGACTAAGCTACAAAACCAGATGTTTTTAGTTAACTTTCTAATCCAGCGAGTGGCCAGGCTAGGTCCATCCATGTCTGCGTTGCGGATGGTTTTCCTGCATGCCTACGCCTTGGCCTTACACTCACGCTTCCTTTTGGTCAACTAGATCGCCCGCGCTCCCTCGTGCGTAGCGGTTACTCTTCACCTTATTCAGTGTATCGTCGTGCTTCACTCTACGGTTTTTTTTCTTACATTTCCGTCATTTAATTTTGGCGTGCACGATGACCCCACCCGTAAAACTCCTCTTACCATCATTCCCGTATTAGCGGCAACTGGGGTAGAGCTGCCTCAGGGAAGGCCGCATATCAGGATCTGACCTCCGCATCTACCGTGGTCAGAGGTCGACTAACCCCGCAACTCTGCGCGCCCTTCAGCTCTCACTCCGTCCCTGGCATTGACTGCTATTACGCCCCACCCCTTCCCCCGGATGCTCACACACCGCCTGTGTTTTAAGATGAACTCCGACCGATTTCTCTCATTATTTATACGTTTTTAATTCCAGCCCACTCCCGTATAAATATACTGGCCTTACAAAAATTTGTCGAAAGCAAACGTATTCTTGCCAACTGGTCTTCTGGACACTGCCATGGAAATTTTAGATTTGTCCCTCTGTCCCCTTTCTCACTTACCTGGCTATGATG